TGTCGTCGTCGCGGATTCTACGTAGCGAGAGAAAAACGACACGCGATTCGTCGTTAATGCGCTTCAGCCGCGGAGATTCCCCGCTTGAAAAAGATGCAATCGTTGTGTTTCGACTCCTAGCGAAGATTGTCGGTTTTCTGCGCTTCCGATTCTTTTTTTCTTCCTCTCGTGACAGTATTTCGGATGCGACGAAATCAGAGAGACAGAGAGAGAGAGAGAGAGAAGCGTGCGATGTCACGCGCGTTATGAATGACACGGAGAAAGTGATAATGGACATTCTTGAGATGTCCCGGCGCGGAACGCTTGGACTTTGATGTTTACCGTATCGGAAATCGGGGGGCACTCGGGTTAGGTATCAATTGCAATGATTCACAGGAAAGGAGCGCGCAGTAGAGAGAACGTAGTGTGTTCACGGTCGTGGGAGACGTTTGCTCGCGCGAGGTCTCGCTACGTCAAACGCGCGTTCAAGTTTCACGACCGTCGGAAGTGACAAGAAACAGAAAGAAACTTGCATTTCTGATTTTAATACCGCATCGAATCGCGATCACGGATTTTCGAAGGCGATAGAATTAAATAAAGTTCACACACGTGAGAAAGCGTTGAAGAGTCTATAAAAATTCTTACACGCGCGGCGCGTTTCTTTTCTTTTTTTTTTTTTTGAATGTGTTTTGGCGAATTTCTCGCAAAGCGCCTTCGCGCTTGAGTTTCTTTTAATCGCGCGGAATACCCGCGAGTCATCGATGCGAAGTTTCGGGCGAGCGCTTTGTTTTCGCGCTTGTTAAACTTTCTAGCGCGAGAGATTCGCGCCCACGCGAGAGAGCGGCCAAATTGGTTGAAAAACCTCGGGCGCCGATTTGTTAGATCATCGATGGAATTCTTCGTCCGCATTCCGCGCGCCACGTGGAAGCGGCCACGTCGAAACAAATATTGACGTTTTCCTGTAAATATATAAATGGCCAGACACACGCTCTCTCGACTATTGTCTGATGCTGCAAACCGATATCGAACAATGTTGACATTTGTTGCAATCAGAAGATAACAAATTGCACAATAAACATATGATTTAATAATAAAGATATCTACAATGCAAAACTCGTGTGATTGATGTTGCGCGCAGCTGTTAGGAATTTCGCGGTCGTTAAATGGAAAATTATTCAACTTTTACGAGTGGAAGTCAGTTGGTTAAAAAAAGAAGGATGAAAATATTTTACATGTATTTTAATGCGGTCACTAAATTAAAAATTAAAATGATTTTACTTTTACAAATTGAAGTCAATTTGTTCAAACTACAAATTCTCGTGCAATTATATTTTCTAATGCAGTCGATCATTAAATTGAAACCGCAAATTGCTCGGCAAACGGGAATCAAAGAATTCGTCAAAAATGAAAATACTTGTGCGAACAAAATTTTAATGATTTTGAGAGAGGTGATTGCAATTTGTGATCCAAGGATAAATAGCTATAATAGCATACGGTACGAGATTAAATCTAGATGACAGTACCTACTGAAACTTTCCTACGCGACCCAAAATTTATGAATCCCCGAGCGAGATATCATCGTTTTAAACCAACGATGAAGAATAATGTATTCGCGATACTGGCACGAGACTGTAATTGTTTTTTTAGTATTGCGCCGCATTTCGGAACCGCAAATATGGTTGTACCATCGGGTACGCGCCAAGCAGAGATTGGTGAAAGCATATGGTTCCGCGCGTGTCGCGGCGAGTTTCCAGTCGACGGCGTGTGCGCGCCGGATTTTGCAACGTCAAATCCGTATATCGAGATCGAAACCTCGATTCGACACAACCGCGCAAGTTACGAGCTGTTTAAAAAATTTCCGCGTTCTTATTATTATTTTATTGAAAAAAAAAAAAAAAAAATGTCTCTAGCGTTTGAACGCGCGCAAAAACGTGTTAAAACGGATAAAGAAATCGTAGAAGCTCGACGACGACGTGCATGTCGACGACGGCGGCGAGCGAAATAGCATGAAATGGTTCATTTCCGCGTAAATGCGCTTTCCTGTGTAACCGATTACATCGTCTTTCACTTGTGATATTACTCGCGTATTATTTGAACCCGGGTAATTCAGCGCGGAGAATAGAACGCGTTATATTGTAACTGCGTCGGAGGAGGAAGATCCTAGAAAGTATTCGAATTGATAAAAAGCCGTACTTTCTAAACGCCCGTATCACGATATTACTTTTTCTCCGTCCTGTTCTTATTTAAGAAGCATTCCGGAATTACGCGACTCGGCCAGAAATGTAATTTCGGTTAAACGTTGCGAATCTTCAACTGGAATTGGATCGTACATAATTTAGAAATTGAATCCCCGAAGTGAAGTAAACCTTAAGAGCTGTGATCCACCGGTGGTGGTGAATAATAATAAATAAAAGTGTATTGGGTCAAATTAAGTAACTGGAACTTGACAAATATCAACGTGTTAAAAAATAAAATTATAAAATTAATTATATTACAACATATATTGTAAAATTAAATATAAAAAAACTAACATAGAAAACATAGAAAAAGTATTAGTTAATTTATACAGAAAAAGCATTGTCAATTTAAACAGATTTAAGCTGAAAATAATCAGAAAACAAACGATCGAAACGTTCCAACGTTAATGGAATCACTCATTTGCTTCTAATTACATTAATTTTAATTTATTACCCATTAGCATATCGGTGGATCAGTAACTTTTAAGATTTATTTCAATTTGGAAATGTTCTTGTTCTTCTCTCGAGCTCTCTTGTTCATTGGATTAAAAGCGGAAAGATGATAGTAGGTTACCGGATATTTGCTCTTTAAAAGATTAAAACGACTATCAAACTTTAAAAGGAGCAGATCCAAAATTCATCTGAAGAAAACCGTGATGAAATTCGGCTCTTTCACAAATGAGAGACCAACCTTGCGGGAAACAATAGAAAAGAGACACTAAGAAGATAAGAATACCAAAGTTAACAAAGAAAGACATAACTGTTTTCAACCAGTCGAACTTTCTAGACGAAAATTCCACGTTGCGTGAAATTCCGACCAATTATCTCAAAACAAAGGGCTCTCCATTTGCCGCAATGAGAATCAGGGCTAGCTTTAGACAGATAAACCTCTGTATACAAAAGAATTACAGAATTTACTCGGGAAGCGCATGTTTACTGTGTAACTCGGAAGAATTGGAACCTGAAACAAGGGGCTGTTTAATCGCCACGCCGGGAAGAATTAGGACTCAAATCGGCCTAACTAACTCTAGGCAGATAAACTTTGTGTACGAAGGAATTACTCCACAAAATTGACCTGAAAAGCGAAGTTTGCTGTGTAACTCGAAAAAAAAAACAAACAGGAAATTGGGGAAGCGATAAGACAATTTTTTGCCACATTGCGAATCGCGCATTAAAATTAGAGACTTTGTGCTAAATGACTGCAATATTTTGTACATGTAAGAACTTTTGTGAGACGCAAATCTTTTTTTTTTTTATACAACAATTGAGCTCGATAAACTCGTGAGAAGATGAAACAGAATATTGGGGTATTTATTTGATGTTTTTTGAATTGCTTTGCGTGTCAAATTTTTATTTTTGTACAATAGTTTGTGGACGATCCAAATAACGGCATCGATACGTTTGGTTTTTTTTTTTTTTCTATAAATAACACACGCGCGCATTTTGTATTTTATATTGCACCTGCTCTAATACTCCGTTTTTCTTTTATAATAGCAGTAATACACACACATGCGCGCGCTTTTTTCTTCATCCGTTGCAACGTAGATATTTGCAACCAACTGCCGCGGGATAATTGACGAGTTATCGTTTTGTCACTCGACGTTCATTTATCGGTTTTAAAACTAAACGAGCCAATCACGTTTGATTGGCCACAGAGAGCAGCTTGTTTTCCGCAGTTGTCAATGTGTTTGCTGTGTGAGACAAAAAAAAATCCCCAGGAAAAAGCAGATTGTCGTAGGAAAAAAAAAAATTTTTTTCCGCGCGCGTTTAGATGCGTTGAACCGAGTCGAAAGGAGCAACGCGATAAAACGCGTGAACCAAAACCGGTGTGTGTCTCTCGCTTCCTCGTTTCCGCGCGAAAGAAACTACTTTCAATCGGGACAGCATTTAAGATTGGAGCGCGACTGACCTCCAGACGCCGATTTCCGGCTCGAAATTTTGCGAGAAACATCAGCCCAAGATAATTGTTCTCGCGCTTCCTTTCAAAGCGCATTATATAACCAATTAATCTCGCTTGTGCGCGCAAAATCAAATCTCTGCCCATATTGTAACATCTCGTTCGAATTAACGATACGGATGGGTCGACCCGTCGATGTCTCTTTATCGCGATATACATTTGACACGCGCTGCGGCGTCCCGATAACACACACGCATGTTACACGCGCGTGTTTCTTTCCGCGTGTCGACTGTTGATCGTTTGACATCACGTCTCGAGTAACGTGGTTGGTTTTTCAGCGCTCGACGAAACGGCCGTTATCGCGCGTCCGCCGTTATCGGCACGTTCGAAATTTTAACGAGATCTGCCGGAAGTTTAACATCTCGCGTTGTCTCTCGCGCCGCGTTTGCGGTCGCGCGAATTTAGTCCGACTTTCGTGTGTTGATTTCTCCGAGTCTCACGTGACGATTATATCCCGAGTCACGTTTGGCATCGATCGCAATCTCACTCTCTCGCGGCTTATCGTGGACGCGTATCTCCGCTCGATTCCGCGTTTGTCATCTCCGCGTCTGCCTCGTCAACGCTCGAAGATGAGTTTTTTTTTTCCCTTCTCGTGAGTGACGCTGAATGCGAGAGAGAAAGAGAGAGAGAGAAAAAAAAAAGAGAAGATTCGCATCGCTCTAATGTCCGCGGGATCGCGTTGTTTTGTTGCAGGTGAAGCCTCAGCATGGCCAGCAGATGACTGTTAGCCGAGCTGGTGCTCGTACACTCGACTCTAATATGAGCGAAGTAGTGGCAGTGACGCCGACTGGTGGACCGACACGCCAGGAAAGCGTGGCGCACATCAAGCGACACAAACTCGCCAGCTGTAATGTTCCTCTCGTGCACGGCCGGCCAAATCCGTCGATCAGTCCACGCAGCAGACTGACCACGCATCAACGAAATCACAGCTTGGACTTTAGGTACTACACACGCGCTCTGCCGCCTGTTGTTGACGCTCTGTATATCCGTGTTTTCCGCGGACTCGCGTGTTTTTAACACGTCACGGAGAGAAACGCGAGAGACGCGTTTCCTGGACGCTCGCCCGGGCCCACTTTGCACGAGCTATTTCGCAAAGCCGGTGACGCGTTTGGCGCGCGCACACACATCCTGGCACTTGTTGAATAAAGCGACCGTAAATTCCGCCCGCCCGCATCTTCGCTCGCGATGTGTTAACGGTAGAAAAAAAAAAAAAAAAAAAAAAATTTGTTCACTATGCCTCGCGTGTAAATTCGCGGAACGCACGCACAGNGCAACTCGGTAGCTCGACACACCCGAGAGAATCGTGCGTTTCGTTCGGGTGTAAACTTCGCGCGCGCAAAAAAAAAAAAAAAAAAAAAAAAAAAAATCTGTGAGTTACGCCTCGCGTGTAAATTCGCGGAACGCACGCACAGATTTGAAAAATCGACCATCGTCAAGAGACTGCGGAACACAGAGCGCGAACGCGTCATCAATATTAATAACACCGCTGCAATGCATCGCCGTAATCGCGCGCAACACGAGCGCGTGCAGCTTATCGCGTCGTCTATTTTCTTTATTAGACGCGCGAGCCAGCGCGTGTGTGTGTGTTTGTGTGTATTTACAAACTTGTATTTTTATAACTTATTGGATTTTGCGTCGAGTTTTAAAAGAGGAATTTCATTTGGGAAACCCAAATAGAAACTCTAACGTTAATATTTGTCGCAAGTTTTGTCAAATGAAAGAGACGAATAAGAGAAACGTTTTTACTGGACGAAAAAAAAAAAAATAAGACGTAACGCAAATAAAAAACCTGCAATAAATCTCAAGTGTCACGATACAATTCTCGTATTTTATTTCGACCGTTGGTTATAAATTTTCTGCTGCTTATCGGTGTAGATCAATGGGTATCCTACTACCACCGGTGCCTCAGGCGACCGCAACCACGTTGACGCATCATCACAGAAATCGGAGTCTGGACTCCGCGCTTCAACGAATCCCGGAAGTGGACGTGACGCCGAGTCCGGAGTGCGAGAATCCCGCGCCCTCGTCGGCCTCGTCGAAGTCGACGACGGCGGTGACGTCGTCGTCATCGTCGTCGTCATCGTCGTCGTCGGGAACGTGCGGCAAGGGAACGCGCACCGCGCGGGAACGCGACGATCTGGCCAGCCTGGGGTCCGACGACTCCGGCATCCTGTGCGGCTCCGACAGCGGCTCGAGCGACGCCACGAACGCGCCTGCCACCCGCGAGTCCAGCGTCGATCACCTGCACAGTCGCGAGAGTCTGGACTCGTCCGTGTCGCAACTGGGCGACGTGTGCTCGGTCGACGCGGTGGACGGTATGGAGAACAGTAGTGCCGGTATGGTGTCGATGTCGGTGCCGGTGTCGCCCGTGGAACTGTCGACACGTCTCAGTGACAGTCCTCCGACGTCTCTTAAGGACGAGACCAGCCTTGACGAGCGTCCACGTTGCGACGACAATGAACGTTGCACGCAAAAACCGCGATCCAACGTGAGTGAGCGCGAACACGACAACGTAGACGGCTATCAGGATCGCGAGATCTATCAGGGCGCCATGCAAGTGACGTCGCTGGACACGAGTCAGAGCGAGCTGGCCGGCGCGGCCATGACCCTGTGCTGCGGCACGACCGCAACGCAGCAGCAGGAAATTGAGACCATAAAAAAGCAACCGGATATCGTCCGCCGACAGCAGCAGGAGACGAAACAGCCGAAACCGTCGGAAGGCTGTCTGCTGCGGCTCTTCGAGAGTCAGATATTCGACATGTCGATGGCTATCTCTTATCTGTTCAATTCCAAAGAACCCGGCGTTCAAAGTTATTTAGGTATAAAAACAAAAACAATATTTTTCTCACGCGTATATTTCCCCCGCATCTCTGATGAGATTTCTACTAAAAAAATCTATCAATAAAATTACTGCGGAATATGACGATAGTTTCGATCGCAAACACGCGTCTTGCATGTCTGATGAATAATGTATTGTAGGTAACAAGATGTTCAGTTTTCCGGATAACGATGTGGACTTTTACTTACCGCAGTTAGTTGTGATGTACATACAACTTCACGATGTAACAGAAGTTCTTTATCCATATCTTGTCCATAGGTAAATATAGAAATTTAAGTAATAAAAATATAAGAATAATAAAAAAAAAACAAAAGCATAGAAACGTAGAACTTTGAAATATAGAACTTTTTAAGAGGTCGCTCAACAAGTTACCGTTAACTGTTAGAATTGCCGCGAATTGCCGCGAATTAAAATGTCGCGCGAGATAAGACTATAAACGGAATCAATCTCGTCTTGTAGATGTAGACAGTCGGCAGATTTCTCGTTAAAGTGTGCCTGGCTGTTAGACGCGTACAGCTCCGATGCTCATTTGCCGTCGAAGAAGAAGTCTCATGGGACCAAATTGAAAAATCTTATCCTGTCAGATGAACTCAGGTAGGAATTGCGATAAATTGCGCGATACGCAATAGGAAATTACGGAATCTCGGTGAGATAAAATACCGTCTCTCTCTCTCTCTCTCTCTCTTTCTTTTTCCGTGTGTATACTAGACCATTTATTTAGAAGAAAAAATTTTATTTCTGTCAACGTGTGTAACATTTTAGGCCAAAGGGAAATGAGAGTCGAAAGCAGCGTATTGCCGGGTTGCAAGTTCCTGCGCCAACACTATTGCCCTCGACGCAAAATCTCACGTCGCCAAATAAGAAAACCCACCAAAGATCTCAGTCGGACGCTACTGGACTGTTCCAGACTATACGCCGTAGTCATTCCGGTAATTTAATCTTAATTAATACACAGTGATACACAGACACACAACATTCTTCAGCTGTTACGTAAGTTTGCGGAATCCGATCGGAGATTCTTATCTCGCTTCGAAGAGATTGTTCGCGAATGCTCATAACAGGAAACCCGACAAGATTGTAGAAAAATTTCGATCGGCAACGAATTCCAAATAATTTTATGTAATAGCTGCTGCGAGAATAATTTTTTTTTTTTGTTTGTTTGTTAGGATTCTCCTCCAATGTGATTTATTTAATTCTCTTTATCGCGTGACTTTTCGGTCTTTCCCTTAAAGGTAATATAAATAAAGTAAGTCTCGGGGACCTGAGCTCTGGTCGAGCGTTTGACAACGGCTGTACCTGTTTCTATTCCTGCCAAGGTGTGGTGAACGATTTGCGAGGCCAAAAAACCGATTGTTTCTGCAACGTAAGTTACTTGTAAACTAAACAAGAGCGTATGAAAAAAAAAAGAAAACAAACAAACAAACAAACTTATGCTCGAAACACACAAACAAATGCGTCTGCAATCTGAAATCTCGCAGGCACCTCGACTCGCGCCAGAACTCGAATTTATTCAAGCGTTAATATCAATTGGTAAATTGCTCGGAACAATACCAACAAAGGAAAGTAAAACCGTTCAATTAGTGGCGGAGCTCAACACGCTTAATTTGAATCTTCCCGCGAGGGTGTGGCTTCCTTTGCACAGTACGATACCTCATCATATCGTTCGGGTTCCGCCGCAATATGCCGCCGTTCTCAACAGCAAGGACAAGGTATGCACACTTGTGTCCGCATCTTGGATCTTTTTTTTTTTTTTTTTTTCGCAAAATTTATTGTTCGAACGTCAATGTTCGAGCGCCAATGTTATGTTTTGCAGGCACCTTACATAATATATGTGGAAGTATTAGAAGTGGATGATCTGTACACATCGCCCGTGCCAACAAAAATAATGGGCAGTTCGTTGAGGCACACCAAGTCGGAAGAGAATTTAACGGGCGGCGAGCAATCGAACATATCCGCACCCGAGAGCCAGCAGAATTCGACGACACGACAGACCCCGGTCAAGAATATCTCGCCTTACTCCGTTAGAAATACAGATGTGGCATTTAGCTTTCCCGATGACGACCCCAACGATTGTTGGAGTCAGGAGGACGACGAAATCACACAGCAGGTAGCACATCTCGTTGAAAATCGATTAGGCGTGGCTTTCGACTTTGATTTCCATTCTAACTATCCATTCGTTTTTTTTTTTTTTCTCAGTATTTGCAGCTTCGCAAGCCGAAAGATCGCGACACCATATCGCAGCTTAGTCAGGACTCGTCCGACAGCAGAGAGCCAATCTTCGTTCCGGGCGATATCAAGAGAAGATTGAGCGAAATGGCAGCTACGCCCAGCGCGACCTTCAGTCATGATCCCGAGGACCCGTCGGCAGCGGTTCTCAAAGAACCGTGGGAGCAAAAGCAACGGCGTATAAGAGCTTCCAGTCCGTACGGGCATTTAGCGTCTTGGAGATTGCTCGCGGTAATTGTTAAGTGTGGCGATGATCTCAGACAGGAGCTCCTTGCCTCGCAGTTGCTCTCGATGTTGCAAAGGATTTGGCAAGACGAGCAGGTACCTCTTTGGGTGAAACCATATAAGTAAGTAATTTACAAATTCAACAATTTAAAACCTCGTGAAAGCGTACAACTAATATTAAACTCGATACCAATATGTGCGTGCAGTTATACAGATGTTTATTTTCTTCTCTTTTTTTAACGCACGCAATGCAGAAGGTCCAGATTTAGCCAAGGGTTTTTTACAATTTTAAATTTCATAAGAGATAAATGTACTTCGTATATATGTGTGATGCAAACTAAGTATCTTACGTGAATTGAATTTAATTCGAATTTATGTAATTTACACGTTTAAAAAAAAAAAGAAATATAAAAGGAAATAAACGTATATATAATTAAATAAATATAGAATTTTAAAATAAATATAAAAGAAGAAAATAAATATCCACACCTACATATTGGCTCGACCTTAATACTGTTATATAGGTTCAATTTGTCTCATCATACACACACACACACACACACTTTGTTATATAACTTTATTGATATATTTTATATGGAACTATGTATTAAAACGGTGATTTTTAATTTTGTTTCACAGAATTTTGTGTCTGTCCAACGACAGCGGCCTGATCGAGCCGATTCTTAACACCATGTCGCTCCACCAGATAAAGAAACAGTGCCAATTAACGCTTTTCCAATACTTCGAACGAGAGTTCGGTCCTTCTACCTCAGAGGCGTTTCGCGTAGCGCAAAGAAACTTTATTCAGAGCTGCGCCGCGTACTGTCTGGTCAGCTATCTCATTCAGATAAAGGACCGTCACAACGGAAACATACTGCTGCACAGCGACGGCCATCTGATTCATATAGACTTTGGATTTATTTTATCGACTTCGCCACGAAATCTCGGATTCGAGACCAGCCCGTTCAAGTTGACGCCGGAATTCGTCGAGGTAATGGGCGGCGATCAATCCAAGCTGTTCGAGCAATTCAAGAGCCTCATCCTTCAGGGCTTGATCGCGGCGCGGAAGCACATGGAGAAGATAGTCAATCTCGTTGAGATTATGTTATCGGGTAAGCGATAGTGTGTTCCCACACACAGACTAGTTCGCTCGCTTGCTCGCGTGCGGCTATTAATATCTCAACGTACACATTTCAACGGGTTCTATCGATTTTTTTCGTCAGGCTCTCAGCTTCCGTGTTTTCGAAGTGGTGGGGCGGCGACTGTTCAAGGTCTTAAGAATAGATTCCATCTCACGCTCACCGAGGATCAACTGCGTCGCCACGTCGAGGATCTGGTCGAGGGCAGTATTAATTCGTGGTCCACCAAACTCTACGATCGGTATCAATACTTCGCGAACGGCACTCTTTAATATCAAACAAGCCGAAACGACTCTTCTGTCTGTCGCGTTTTGGCTAACACCCTTTCGAAGATGACAACTGTTCGAAGAAAGGATTAATACCAACCCCCGGTAAAACGTGCTGTGTTACTTGTCGCACTATTTTTACGTATGTACACTTGATAAACGAGGGGGTTGACCAATCGGCGGCGCGCGTGTCCATTTTGAAAAAAAAAAAAAAGAGAAAAACGCTGCTGCAGTGCTGCTGCATTAGGAAATCTAAACCACAAGTTTGTGATAACAATAGGGTAACACAAATAGTTGTTGCGTTAATAATTATAATATTGCCATTTATTTTAATTCGCGTTATACTATATATATATACAGAGATGTTCCCTCCCCTCCCCTTCACACTTATTCGGTTGTTTGCTTCGTTGAGCTGCGTTGAAGAAGCTCGGCTTCGTTTGATTTCGTGTAAAATAACAAAATATAAAAAGCGCGATTGCGCGCGCGCGCGATGACGAGAACAAAGCAGGAAGTTTGTTCCGGGCACGTGAGCTGATTGGGCAGCGCTCTTTCTTTTCCCCTCCCCAGGCATTCCACGAACGACTTCTCGAGTGGAAATTTTTCTTTTTCTTCGTTTCGAATGTGTGTGAAACACAGAGCCCGGATTATAGGATTTCGGATAGATCGCCCAATCGTTTTGAGTTATTTCTTGCTTTCGCGGCGAGTGAGAAACGATACGAAATATTTTTAGCGAGCGATGAGAAGAACTTTAAAAGAACTTTCGATTGTGTGCACAGTGATGGGACGTGCGAACAGTTTGCGAGAAAAGAGAGAGAGAGAGAGAAAGAGTGATGAGATGAGAGTGATGCTTCGTTGAAAGTTAAAAATATTTATCGTCGTTTGGGGGTATATTGCGAAAGGGAAAGGAACGAACTATGAAAATTTTTGCTACCCCACACAGTTGGTTACATATATCCACTATATATATATATATATACAAACGTTTTTGTTCGATACATTAAGACTGCTGTTGTTTACGTATGCCTCGATTGACACATTACGAATTTAGCTGTCGCCGACGCGAGAGAGAGACGTGGCGTCGTTGACTGAGGCACGTTGAACTGCTGAATCAAGTGTAGCTTTACATAAAAAAAAAAAAAAAAAACACAGCGTAATTTGTTAAAGGTGCCTTATTTGTGTAGAAAGAAAGTGGTGTGGTTTGGGGTGTGATCAAATATCTAGAGACAGAGCGGCGCGGCTGATATTATTATTAATTACGGCAATTCTTAGCGCGTAGAACTGACGATCGGTCGGTGAAGAGAAAAAAACAACAACAACAACAAGCCGGACAATCTGTAATTTGTACATATAAAACGAGAAGAGATAAAAAAAAAAAAAAGGACAGAAAAGAGAGAAACGTGTTTTGTTGCGTGGAACTTTCGTCGATTCGCGGCAATAAACGGCGGTGTGCGGCATCGAAAACTCACTCGAAGATCCCGAGTCGCCGAAGAGGGCGAGCACGCGAGAGGGCTGCGTACAAAAAAAGAAAAAAAATCTAGGGACTCGGATATTATTACGAGAGGGAGGCAAATACTCAAAATCTTTCCTACTTCGTAGATTAGTAAAAAAAAAAAAGAAGAAAAAAACACTTCGATGAGATACATCTTAATTGTACGCGCGGTATGAATCTAAGAATTTAAGCATTAATTACCTATAGCGAGTCTTAAGGATCATATTTGAAAGTTTTTACATGTTCTTACATTACGTAAACACTCATCTCCCTCCCCCTTTTCCCTCCTCCATCCTGCTCCCATTCTCCACTTTTCGTAAATGCGAGGAGTGCGTCGTTGTAGCTGTGTGTGTGCGTGCGTGTGTGTGTGAGTGACGGAGGATAAAAAAAAAAAAAAAAATATTTAATCTTGTGTAATCGCTCCTCGCGTAAACGTTTTATGTCCGTTTAAGAGTAAATTATATAAATATATAAACTATATATATATATATGAAGAGATTATATATATATATATATTGTACATAAAAGTGAAACAAAAAAATTTTATCATCTCTTATTAATATTATACATAGGATTAGAGAGACGAAATTCAAGAATGAATATTCGAAGCAAAATCAAAGTTGCGCTAAAGCCAGCCCGAGGTGTATGTGTGTGTGCGTGTGCGTCTGTCTGTCTGCCTGTGTGCGTGCGTGCGGTACCGGAGAAAGAAACAACCTGGGCCCTCCGACTTCCAAGTGTCTTAAAACAAAATATCTATCTCTTTCGTTCTTTCTTTTCCCAACCCTCTCTCTTCTTTAACTTTCAGTCTCTATTTTATCTTTTTATCTATTCTTCTCTTACGTATTATCCCTGGTCTGATAGATAAACTAGAAAATCGAATATACAAATTACGACCTCGAGAGACTGCGAAAAAAAAAAAAACTAATCCGTCATCGCACTTCGACGTCATTTGCCGTTGTCTCCTTTTTAGTTTTGGTTTTGGTCGATTTTTTCTAAAGAAAAAAAAAAAGACAAACTAGTACGATATTAAAACGTAATCAATGTGTGAGAGATTTTAAACTCGTTCTCATTGTTGCTGTGTGCAAGAATGATTGTAGAAAGAGAGAGAGAGAGAGAGAAATATGAATCGCGACGGGGTCAACGGCCCTCTTATCTCCGGTCGATTATAAACGCGCCCGAATTTACTTCCTGTTTCTGTCGAACACACATGCGTGAAATATCAAGATTTTTTTATTTGCCTTGATCTTTCACCTCATTACGAGCTATTGATAATATCGATTATTAAATAAAAAATGAATGCGATAAAACATCACCCCAAGTTTATTCAGCACTCCAAAAGAAAGAGATATAACAAAAACAATCGTCTTTTTTTTCCACACACATCATCGGTGCATATCGTCGAAATGTGCAAATCGCTCGAGGAGATAATTCTCGAGTCGACGGAAAAAAGATGTCTAATTTGTTACATCGTCTCTTGCGTCTGAAATTACTCGATAACTTACAAAACACACACAAGATAAACAACACGACTTAGATATATTGCACGACTACTGTGGGGAAGGATATTAATGATACATTAGATCATGAGAGAGAATTGGAAACTGGAGCTGATACGTAATCTCTCATACGTACGCACATGTGACACATTTATATGTGAAGGAGAGACGTCTACAGATCGGGGAGAAAGCGAAGCAATAACTATCATACGTAATCGTATTGCGAATATCACAAGCCTTAATTAATAACTTAACGGAGATCTCAGGACAAAATCTTATATTCTAGAGAGCTGCTGCAGTAAGTTGGCCGGCAAGATGGCTTCCAGTTTGTCGAAGATGAAGTAAAACGGGTTTGACAGCCCGGCGAGAAGCGAGCGCGCGATTATGCCCATAGTGTCCGGATACTGGTGCGTCAGCAGTGCCAGTACAGCTGTGATTGAGCACAGACCGGCGGTGAAGTGAATGAAGAAGGGCAGTTCGCGCTTCGGGTAGACGCTGACCTCGTGAAACTTGGGCAAAAGTTCCCGTTCGGATTTCTCGGTGCTCGTCGGATACGGATAGAAGAGATGGCCGCGCTCGAGCGGATACGGCAGCATCCTGAACGTGCCCTCCCACGTGCAGTGGAGCAGATTCAGGGCGCCCTCGACCTGCTTCCAGTGAGCCAGATGGAAGAACGCGTAAGCGATCGCCTCGGAGTCGCCGCGCTTCAGCACGTGTTCGGGCGGCAAAATGAGCGGCTTCATCTCGAGGAGATACTTGGGCACGTGCGGATTGAACTCGACCGCCCGATGGATCGCCTCGACCGCCGACATCTCGGCGGTGGTCAGACCGCGTTTGCTGGCGATGTCGGGCGAGAACTTGTCCGCCACCAATCGGGCTTTCAGCAGAGCCGCCGTGTAGCAGATGGTCGCCGACTTGGGCAAGCTGATATCGTCGAACTTGGCCAGCACGGCCTGCACGTCCGCGTACGCCTGCATCTCCAGCAGCGCCTCGATCAGATTCTCGTGGATGCTCAACGTGTGCATGGCCGGCGGCACTTCCTTCATGAGATCGCGAAACATCTTCACCGCTTCTTTGAGTTTGCCGAGCTTTCTCGCGCACATCGCCAGTCGTCTCTTAATGTAAATCAGCACGTTCGTGTCCCGTTTGTGTATTGCCTCGGCTATGGAACCCTGATGCTGGGTGCTCTGCGACTTTCTGTGATTGTTCTCGGCCACTTTGAGCGCTTGCTTCAGAATTTTCTCCGCTTCCGTAATGGTAGTTGCCTCCTCCTCCGCGAGAAGAATATAAGCTGGTGCACACTCGGGATTGTGCTCAAGCGCCTTTTTTGCAGCTTGTATTCTGATATCCGGATTGGGCTGCCGCCAAGCTGTCTGCATAATCTCATACTCGTATTTACCTGGAAGTACAGAACAAAAATTTTATAAATAAAACAATTTAAAATATTTCGATACAAGTAATTTGAAGACAAAAAAAAAAAAAACACTTTACACAAGATGGAAAGAAAAATCCCTTTTGATTCCTTCACATCTTACCTGCGTCTCCGTCGCAGGTAAAACAAGTCTGATGCTCCTGAGCGGACAGGTTCATGTCGTTGAACGTCAGCGCGTCTTTGTTGGTGGCCCAGTAAAACCGCTGATACTCCGCTCCTCTGAACAGACTTATAGGATTTCGCCAGAACTTGTGTTCCAGACCGTTCTGTTGATTCGAAGAGCCGCCCGAGGTGTTAAGGTCCGTGTTGTTGCTGTCATTGCCGCTGTCGCCGTTCAGCCACGGCGAGATGTGGGTCAGGGACACGTGCTCGATGAACGAGTGACCGTACTTGCTGTAGTACCACCATTCGAAGATGAGGATCGCGCCGGAGATGAGGGACGAGGTGCCGGTAAGGGCGACGTAGAACTTCGGAGTGAGGGTGTTGAGAAACATCGACGAGTCCCACATGCTGGTAAATAGCAAAGCCATTTAACGCAAACCAGGAACTGGCCGGTTGCGAGCACTCTTGCTCGGAATATTTCTGTCGGCTATAGAAAGAAAACAGAGAAGGTTCACGATCACGGTGTCATTCAGAAGAAACAATCCCACGGAGTGGCGAATGGCTCCGCGATCTCTACTCTGCGGCAGATCTCGCGTTAAGAGTTCGCACTCGAATTCGCACACCGCGAGGTGTGAGAAAAAACGAGATCTCTCTCTCTCTCTCTCTCGGAGGTGACACTTGACAGCTTTGTATTCAAACGCACTTAGCAACGCGTGTATCCTCGTAGACAAGCCGGAGAGAAACTCGAGAGAGCGACTACGCGTCGCACTTTGCGCTCTTCCGTTCGCGAGCGCCGTGATGTCCGCAACGCGATATTCTATAAACTACTCGATCAACGAATGGTTTGCTGACTTGGTAAAAAAGAATAATACATATCACGGAACAGAACCGGACGCTGTTATCCACAGAGTGATTCGCAATTCGTTCTTGTTTGCGAATTATCCACAGTGCGGCGCTCGCGGATGAGAACTCGCGGAAAGTGCGGTTCACGGCCGTTGTTTTTCTGTGGTCCAATATTCATGGTTCAATTTTACTAAATTGTCTTTGAGTTTATCGTGTGATACTTGTACGGGTCGTATCTCATTGGCTACCAGACCATCTGAACTTAAAACGATCTCGCAAATGCGATCCGACTATGAACAGACGTAGGGATCTGTTTCGGAGTTTCGGTTGGGATTTGGGACATTCGTCCGGAATTACATCGACCTTGAATTTGAACAATGGAAAACGCCTAGTTTTCTCCTTTTCCGACAGGAGTCTCTGCGCGACCCTTCGATTCGGAGCAGTTCGAGGACTCCTGTCAAACGCTCTATTGATAGACCACTGCCGATGCTGTGCTGACCGACGTGAGAAGAAGATCCTCCGGTGGTTCGTAGAGGCGACCGCGGTGTTTTCCAGCATCACGTCTGGGAATCTGAGACACTTGTGGGACGCCGATAGCCGGACGACCACCGTGTATATCGGATTTCCCTACGAAGGTACGTGAGTGAACAAAAATTTTTACGTTCCCTCCTCGCGGAATTTCGATCGTGCTAATTTCGAACGCGAACCAATTGATTTGTTTGGTTCTCGTCTCGTTGTTTTGTTCAGAGAGAGATATCGATGTTTTCGTCGGGGAAAAAATTTCTCGTGCGACAATTCGAAATTCGAACGCGCTTCGAACAAAGTTTCGACGTCGGTGCTGAAGACCGAAGTCATTGTAGTTATTTTCACTCGCGTGTTGTTCACGCGATTTTTTCATGAAAAATAAAACCCGCGACTCGTTCGGCGCGGAAAAACGCGCTTTTTCGTTATCGCGACGAATGTTATCAGTTTGTTCGAGTCAACTTATCATTGTCTAATTGACGAAGTGCACTTTTGCCTCGGCATAACCTGTTTTTTTTACTATGCGTGACACAAGGGACGCTCCCGCATCGTTATCGCGTTTATCTCCTCAATTAGCGCGGTGTTGGGGATAGTGGAATTTGGTCTGATCGAAGTAAAAAAACAATTGTCTCGTAAAACCTTTTGTGTTATCACATTTTGATTCGCGATGTCTCGAAATTTTCTCTCAAGTCCTAAATTTGTGTCGAAAAATAAATTACTTCGATCAAACAATACAAAAAGATAACAGAATCTTATCCGTTCCCGTCCTTGAAGGTTCGATGATGAAGCGTGCATTATTTATAAACTTATTTGCGAGGATCCTCACAGACACATCAATATCGATTGGTAACATCCAACGATAAAGGACGAAGCGAAATATTCGAGAGAATTTCCAAAAGTTTTTAATGTGCATTTTTGTAAAAGTATTTTTTTTTTTATTGTAAAAACTTTACTTCGTCTAAAAACATACGGAGAAATCGGCGTCTAATTAATCGGAGTCTCGGAATAAAAATCATTAAACTATGAATCATTATTTCTAATTTTTTAATATTGTAAAAAATTATAATTCACAGAGATTAATAAGTTATAATTGTTATTTTGTTATTTTTAATTATTTCTTCGAGAGAGATGAGGATAGACACAACATAAGAAAGGATTAAAATGTTTCCGTGCTTTCTCTTTTTGATTTCTCGCCTCTCAACCTTCTCGCTTCGCTATTTAATTACGGAATTAATCAAGATTTGTGTCACTTGTGTGCGTTAATATTGATTCGAGATACCATCTGTGATACGCGTTATGCAAGAGATTGGGGAGGAGCAGAAATCGAGAGCGAAACCAACAATTTGCGCGGTTCGATGATTTGTCCGTTCACGCGCGTGTGACGTGCACGTTCTCGGATGCACGTTCTCGATAAGACAATTTCTTTTTTCTTTTAATGAACATCGCATTGACTGCGTTGTAATTGTTGCATGTCAATGTCCGTATAAAATGTAACTTGAACTCATTGCAGTTGTGCACTGTGGGATCGAGTCAATTGACGTCACGGCCTTGAAGAGAATAGTTTGCCCACAATGCAGAGACATATCGAAATACATAATTAAAACGGTCCTGGAAAGAGCGCGAGTTTCGCAGTTTTAGAATACACATGAAAATATCGTCGCGCGCGGAAAGAAACATGAAAATATATGTTTATTTTTCTTCGAGTTTTCTTGTGCCCCTTCGAGCAATTGATTCGCTCGCGAATTAAAATTTAAACGCGAGTTGAGAGAAATTATTGAAAGAAAGATCGCAATTTGAGTATTTTTTGTTATGAAGCAAAGTCTTAGATTGTGCTAGATTGTATATCGAAAATATTATACAGAGATGCGCAGATATGACAATCGACACACTCTTCCGCGGCGAGATTTATCGGATAAAAACTGCTTACTATCGCGAAAGATGATGAAGATGATGTCTACAAAGGCCAAGATAGCGCGGTCTATAAAAGATTAATCTGTACTTTATGTCTGCACATACTTTTTCCGCAAACACGCTCTAATGCACACTTCATCGTGTCACATAATAAAAGTACACGTTGTTTATCAGTAAATCTGATGATATAATAGTATAATGGATTAATAAGTTAGGTCGGTGCAAAAATAATTGCTGTGTCTGTTATTTAATAAATATAATTTATTTCAAGTTATGCAATACAATTAAGTAAAATTGATTTGAAATTAATAAATTAAAAAACTTGTTTTTTAAAATTGTACATTAAATTTAACATAATACATTAAGTTTGTTATTTAAGAAATAATTTATGAAATAACAATTGTAATTATTTTTGCATCAAATTAATGTGTTGTAAATTTAAACAATTGTCTTAATCAATTTATATAAAATAAACAAAACCCGCGGTTATTTTTGCACCAACTTATATCAAACAAGCTTCCTTATGTAACTCGTTCTCAGCTAATGCACATGATTGGCAGAGTTGCGCTTTAAACTACATTTACGCTGTCACGTTTTACGATAAAAACGACCTTCGAGATTTGGCACAATATTTGAACGCTGTTTATCGCGAGCTCCTTTGAGCGTATCGCAGTTAGCGCTTGTAACAAGATGACTCTCTTCTCAACAGGTGCGGAATTCCTTTTAATTAACCATGGCACAGGACAGTTCGTCTTCGAAATCCGCCGCGCAATTCAAGTATATATATATTTATATCTTAAAATCTAAACACAGAGAAAACAAACCAAAGTAGTTTGTAGATTGATTTAAAGTTATATTTGATTTTCTTCAAATGTTTTTTACAGACTAGTACCCAAAATCATAAATGGCGGCATCGCTGGGATTATCGGAGTATCGGTGGTGTTTCCGCTTGATTTGGTTAAAACGAGATTACAGAATCAAGTTATCGGTCCGAATGGCGAACGAATGTACAAGTCGATGTAAATAGCGTTGTGTCTTTTTTTAAGAGCGGAAACAAAGAAAAAACGCGCGAAAAAAAATCGATAATCAAAATGCAAATAATGTAATTATTTCAGGTTTGATTGTTTCAAAAAGACTTACAGGGCGGAGGGCTACTTTGGAATGTATAAAGGATCCGCTGTAAATATCCTGCTGATCACGCCTGAGAAAGCCATCAAACTTACTGCCAACGACACATTTAGACATTATCTCTCTCCTGGATCAGGGTACGTTATACGCAATGTGATTTTTTTTTGTGTCACGCGTTATTCGAAGCTTGCGTTGCGTGTCTGTCGTAAATAAATATAAGTCATTAACCGGACATTTAACCAGACCGAAAGGTAATCTCTGAGCGATCGCATGGAAACTTTTCAGTTCTGTTTCACGGGGGGAGGGAGGGAAAATTCTTCCACTTCCCACTGGTGTTTCTGCTACAAACTTACTTAATTCTTCACGTAGCAGTTGTGTCATAGCATTCGATATTTGTCTGCATTTTAATCGAAAAAGGGGGTTATTCAAAGTTTATGGCAAGTGAATCAGCATGAAGTAACATCTCGGGTGATATTTTAGACCAATGATTAATCCACACAGAACGAAAACCTATTATTAGATTGTCTATTGGACGTTTACGCGATATCTTAATGGACGCGTCCAATGAGATTTTTGTTCTGCGTGGGAAGGTTTTAAAGCAGAGCATCACATTTATTTAGAATCTTAGTAGTGTATTTTTTTATATAGAAATATTTTATCTTTCTCTACGATTTTATTTGTTATATTTGTAACAACTGCTTGCATTATTCGACCACTTTCCACTGTTCTTCCGAGCGAATCGATCGTTTTGCTCGTTTGCAAGAGCCGCGAAACGCGAAGTCTCACGCTATCATGCCACAGACCCATGTCATCATAAAGCATATTGAAATATGTCGTTCTGTAATTTTAGACAAACGAAGCTACGAAGTTTGAATTTAATTTCCAAGTTTAATGAACCTGGCAAACGATCATCTAAGCAACTAGCTAACGAAGTCGCAAGCAAGTCGGCGAGAGGCAGGGTAATTTTTTGCTTTTCCCTTTTCTTCCATAACTTTTTTCATAGCAATTCTCACAAGTAATAGACACGTAACGTTTTATTTTAATCTTCGACAAGAGTCGTTTGAAATTAATACAGATGGATATTTATTAAATCATCCGTCAGTGTGCTGTAATTTGTTTTGTCAAAATATATTTACCCCCGATATCTCAGGTTTTCTTATTTACATGCGACTGGAGTTGTGTAAAATCGAAATTAAAAGTTATTTTGCTTTATTTATGTTTGTTGTTACGATGTGTTCTCTTGATGCTCTGCGATATGTCCGATGCCTGACACACTGCTTGTCACTGTGATTATGCCACTAGCATTGAATGATCTCCCTTATTCCAGGGCTGGCACATTCTAACGTTTATTTCGGAGAATCGAACAATTTTGTAATTAATCAAAAAGCAAGCTAAAAACAATTTAAACACAAAATAGGCTCAACTACAGCTGCAATCCATCGATGATTGTGGTTAAATTTATTGTAAAATTAAAGTTAATTTATTAATAAACCAAAATTTAAACTTTAAACATTTTTTTACTTTTTTAAAAGTTTTTACTTTTACATTAATTTAATTTTACATTAAATTTTACTGCCACCGGTGGACTACAGCTGTTAGATTGATGTTGTATTTGATAAACAATTGTTTAATTTTTTTGTTCATTGCATTTAAATCGAAATTACTTTGATTTTTTCTCGATGAGAGATCAGTTAGTTCTGCGCCAGCCTTGTCGATCGTGTGCACATGTCGATCTCTTTCCTAAACACATCGTCGTGACCCCAGTACTTTGTTAATTTGTCCAGACAAAAATTGCCATTAGAACGTGAAATGCTCGCCGGCGGTCTGGCGGGAGCATGCCAAATAATCGTTACCACTCCGATGGAGCTGCTCAAAATACAAATGCAAGACGCTGGCAGAGTCGCCATGGCAGCTAAAGAAGGTGATGGAGTAAAAATTTATTTTTTTTTTGTCCGGCTTGCGCATCAAAAATACAGAAATTTTATTTTCTACGATACATTTATTATCTATAGAAATTTTTATTTTTTATTACACACATATTTGAAATTATTGTTGTTTCCATTTATCGTTCGGTTTTTTCGATTGACAAATTGCCATGGTCGACTGTAAAAATTTTTTGCAACGTGTTAAAAGAATGCGACACTAGAGTAGCAGCGCACGTTGTTAGAAAACAGCCACGAAGTCAAATCAGTATATTTTTGTGTAACTAATCCAATTTCCACGTGTAAGAAGGTACAAATGTAGATAACAATCAGTGAAATTTTACAAATATAAGTAAAAAATATGCGTTTTTCGAAACATGTCCTCGCGGTATAATATACACGTTGCGTAACGCGCTACTGTTGCAGCGGGCAAAGCAGTGCCAAAGGTATCCGCTTGGTCGTTAACGGTAGATTTACTTAGGAAACGAGGTATTCTGGGATTGTATCAAGGAACGGGTGCCACCGCGCTTAGAGACGTTACGTTTTCCGTTATTTACTTCCCGTTGTTCGCTCACTTGAACGACATCGGTCCGAAACGCGAGGACGGTTCGGGTGAGTTTTTGTTTTCTCGAGCAACTGTCGTCTGCGCTTTCGGACGAGCGAGTTGTCAAATGTGTGCTTTCTTTCATCAGCCGTGTTCTGGTGTTCATTCCTTGCCGGTTGCGCCGCCGGCTCGACGGCCGCACTGATGGTAAATCCGTTCGACGTAATCAAAACTAGACTGCAAGTTATCAAAAAAGCACCTGGTGAACCAACGTACAACGGAGTGTTAGACTGCATAACGTGAGTGAATCGCGTTTAGTCGCGTGATATTACAGGAGAGGATTACTTTTCCCTTTTCGATTTTGCAGAAAGACGTTCAAGAACGAGGGCCCGACCGCGTTCTTCAAGGGCGGCGCTTGCCGAATGATCGTGATAGCGCCGTTATTCGGCATCGCCCAAACCGTCTATTATCTCGGCGTGGCCGAGTGGCTGATGGGGTTGAAGTGAAATCGCCATATCGACAACGACGAAGTTCGTGCCGTTCAAATGCTCTGGGATGACTGACAATAATCGTTGTAGACGTAGTTGTATTCTGGCTTCTGGGATCTCCGTCGTCGATCAATTCATGTTGTTGCCGAGACGGATTCTCGCTTTACATATAAAAAACAAAAAAAAAAAAAAGAAAGTGAAAGAAAGAGTTATATATATATATATATATTGAAAATGGAATTGTCGTTATTCTCGCGGGTCGTGAATTATGACGGATAGCGTAATCCTTTCACGTCAATATCTTTCATGTCAATATCCAGTAAAAGTAAGATCGTTCATGATTCAATTGACGAGGTCAATACGTGCACGCGTTTGAGTTTAGATCGTTTTTACACCTTGTCAAGTACAGAACAGAGAGATCGAACGGGAAAACACTGATTACTTTAAATACAAACATAAAACAACGTAATTAGGTAATTAATTTTACACGTGTACATTTTTATATATACATATTGTTCGATATTTATCTCTGCATTTGTCAGTGTAATAATGGCTTCTCTTTATCTTCCTCTAGTTTTAAAGACTTCGACTCGTGCGAGATATCCAGTCTACGAATTATCGCGCGATTGTTACAAACAATTCTACCGGGATCTTCGTTGTTACGTTTTTTAACAAACTAGCCGGGTAATTACACGTTTATTACAAACTTGAGCGGTTTATCGTGATATTTTTTTTTAACAATTTATTTTAAGGATGAAATAATAATTAGGATAATTTTGTTAGAGCTCTCCAATTGTGCAATTAGTTGCCTAATTTTCTTAAATTTTCATCTTGGTACGTGTTTCAGAATGTAATGCGACAAGGATGTAATCTTTATGGATGTAACTAAAAATATTACAGAATCTTCAAGGCAAACAATTGCAGCTGTGTGCTTTTCTCTCCCGCTTGCTCCTTTATTTCCCCACTTGGAAATTTGACATGTGAGTTTTGCCATTCAACCGATAAATAATAGATGATGATCAATTTTTTAACGTTTCTTTATTGTAAAGGAATTAAATTTATACATATTATTTTTTTTTCTATAACATAGTTAATGATTTTTATTCGGTAAAAAAAAAGGTCTTTTCCGAGGCCTTCTTGAATATTTATCTATTCAAGGCCTTTTGCTTTTTCATAACGCTAATCTATACGCATCGCATACGTAGTTTATGTCTTTTTGTCAGATCTTATAAGTTTTTTGCTACATTTCCGCGCGAGACGAGGATTGTAGAATTTTACTAATTACGCTCGTAAGTAGTTCAACACATATCGGGTTACAATATTATATATATGTACCAAATTATATATATATATATATATATTATATTAACAATAATAATAATATAATTTGTTTACTTCTTAACTCGCGGTACAAGATTACTGAAGTAAAATATAATGGCGCAGACTATATTCGTTTGCATCAGTTACAACGTTAATTAATAACGTTCTTCTATTCAAGATCTCGAAAGGCCATTTGGTTTTATTGCTAATAATGACGCTCAACAAATAACAGGTAATTCATGCATTATAGTTATCACATGTGTAATCACATGTTTAATCAAACGACGTACAAATGTAACTGCGCAATCGTTTTTCTTTATTTTTGCTCCGCCGTGTGAACTTTTCACGTTCTTGTGTAATACAGTTAACTTGCGTTAAAAAAAAACATCTAAGTACTTGGTTGTAAATTATTCTCATTTCCTATATCGGAATGAGAAATTTCTTGCAAGGCACAATACTGTTTGCAATATTATATTTTCTCTAGGCGTAACTTAGTTCTATCGTCTATGAGATTGCACGATTTTATTATGTCTCTCCGCGCGCCGATAGATATCGTTCGCCCTGATTTAACATAAGTCTCGCATCAGGATGCGAGACGTCAACTGTGAGACAGTATAAATTACAGTCGTCGAGAGAAACGGTTTCCGCATTCGTGACATTGATAAAAAATAACAAAGGAGCGTATGTACACAAGATATATAAATAACAATTTTATTCGGACAATGTTTCAATTTGTTCTTTTGAGTTTTTTATTTTTTTAATGAAAGAGCTCATTTTGTACATTCAAGAGTAAATGTTATTTAAAAACGCGCGCAGGGAATGAGAGATTTGATCCTCGTAAGGTTTGTTTTTCTTTTTTGAAGAAATTTCACTAAAGAATCCTCGAATTTTTCACCTCATGTTGTAATGAGAAACCGGCTTTCGGTAGAGCTCGAAGGCGCTGCCTCTTTGCTCCCGACTCCCGGCCAGGTCCAGGCCGCTGGGTTCTCTGTTGTGTCCGGGATTGGCGGACGGATAGACGGGACCGGCGGGCGCGTGATTGTTGCCGTGCATGTAACCGTTGTGATTCGTCCCGTTTCGATTGTGTGTCGTCAGACCGAGACTGATCTGACCGGCGCTGTTGCTGTGGGAGTGCGTGGTGGTGACCGGCGGGCTCGAGTGCGAGTGCGTGTGGCTGAGGCTGTGGCTGTGGGTCGGCGACGTGAGGTGATGACTTAGATTGTGATGCGAGTTCACGAGATTGCCCTCGTTGTGACGACCGGGTGGCGGAATGTTGTAGTAATACTGGCCGCTGTTGCGCTGCACGCTGCTGTTACTTTCTACCTGAACGGGAGATAAGAAACGGAAACTCGCATTACACATCCGCTCTCGATATTTATGATTTCATTTTCTTGTTATTCGCGATAACCGCAAATTGTTCGCAGTAATTTGTAAAAAAAAGACTTGGCAAAGCCTCTCTTGTAAATCGCAAACGTTTCAAACACACACACACAAGAAGATAAGATCCGCCCAAGATAATCGATAATTCCGTATAATTGCGTTCTGACCTCCGATCAACTTGTAAAATTATCGCGTACGTCGATAAAATGAAAGCAGGGGGAAGGAGGATGACGATACGATATAGATCAGGCTTTTCTCAAAAGAGACCAACTTTATCGCGATGATAAAACGACGAAAAATTATAATTACCCCGTTGTGCACGTGCGACGTGGCGATGGAATAGCTCTTGGAGTGTTGGTACGAATTGGTCCCGTCGTTCCCGTTGTTCTCCGTTGTTTGTCCGACCGTAGTCTGGGGTGGTCTGTAATTCTTCGGTTTCGGGGGTGGAATCGGCTTGTATGTGCCTCCCGGCTTGTTTTGCGACATCGGTATCGATTTGTAATCGGTGGATCGGCTTTAAGAAAAAGAAACGATTGTTTTATCTTTTGCTTACGCGCGACATTGAAAAATTTAACGCGTACTTGTATTTGGCATAATCGGTTCGCGTTTGAGAGTCGTGCGTGGAAACGGGCTGAGCCGTGGATCTGGTGAATCTGTAAGGGTCGTGCGCTCTCGGTGGTACGTTGTTGGTGGTCTTGAGATCGTCAGGCACGTTCGGACCCAATCGGTTCGTCGACGTGTTCGAATTGGTCGCCCCGTAACTGACGTTCCCGTTGGTATTGTTGTACGAATCGTAGGAGGACATGCTATCGTAACTTCCCTGCAAATTAATTGAAAATATTAATTTCTCTAATTGGAGGAAGATGGCGCAGAAACATAAGACACTTGTCGCTCTAATTTTAATTATTAAAATAATAGAAGAAAAAAATAAAGATTTGACGTTTTCTCACCGTCTTCGGCTGCGCCCGTTCGAGGGACGATGTCGCGTTCGCCTTGTGTGGGGTCGCGTTGATGTAATTCCCGATGTCCAGAACGGAGTCGGTCTTGGTCACTCCGAGACGTTCCTGAGCGGATCGTCCTATCGTTCCCCGCGGCGTTTGATTGACCGGTTTCGCGTTTCGGTCGACCCGCGGCGGAAGATCCGGGGGGCTGTGATGGGGCGATCTGGGCTCGAAGGTGCTACCTAGGTATTCGGGCGAGCCGGACTGATTGCTCATTTGCCCGGACAGAGAGAAGCCGTACTTGCTGTCCCCTACGCCGCCTTGAGATCTTCTCTTTTGTTGCTCGAACGATTGCTAAAATAAACGTGACAATTATATTGTTGGTGCAGAAATTAATTAATAAACAAAGAAAAATCGTATTATTTTTGCATCAACCTAATAATTACACGATACTCTATAACGATGTTGAAAATTTCGTGATTTTTTTTTTCTCTTTCTCCGCGAATTAAATTACCTGATAATTCGTCGTGTACGGGGGCGGCGCGGTGGTGTCGTCCTGAGTGGCGATACTGGGATCGGAGCTGCTCTTGAGCCGCGACGGCGGACCCAACGTGCCGGGGATGACGGGCGCCGGGCTCAGTTCCAGATCGCTCTCCGGGGAGGAAGCGTAGGAGAGGCGAGAAGTCATCGGGAATAGGAAGTCATCCGACAGGGCTTCTTCCGGCTACGGAGCCCAGACCACAAAGGACATGACGTTACGCAAAAACGGTTACACACGCGAGTGACACATAAAACCCAGACACGGCAATGCGTTTTCATGTGGTGCGAATAGCAGCATTGCGGAAGCATCAAAAGTCACACGATTATGCATTGTTACAATGATTACTCTTTAACGTTGTACAAATTAATTACATAATTATATATTTCTCTCACCAATTTGCGGGAAGAAGCACGTTACATCAGACAAGAGACAAAAATATAAGATAACTCGATGTAAATTATGTAAAGATGAGCCATTTTCTAATTTTCAAGAGACAAATCATTTTTTATATATTATTATTTATATATTTTATATATTGTTTACATATAAAATTTTTTATATCAAGTATAATTTGATATAGTCAAATTTTATATTTGATATGTAAAAATGGAATATATTTTTTAAATTTTATATTTAATATAGAGAAGTGCGTGGTATACATAAATTTTTGTTTTGTGAAAATAATTCTGTGCTTTGTTTAAAAGAAATAATTAAAAATTTATAAAATACTAGAATTATCTTATATCTTGCATTACTACACCGTACATACGCGGCGTGCGTGAAGCGTAAAATTGCATTCAGATTCATGCAAAGCACATAGAATACCAACATGCTATAAACGTCTAAGCCCAATTTTATACAAAAGATACATATTTTTAACACAAGTTTATTAAATAAAACATTTTAATTAACAAATTTTATTAATGTTATCGCGTTAAACAAGTCAGTGATCTTGAAAAGAGAAGAAAGCGAGAGAAAGGATCAAAGCGGAATTTAAACACAGCCGAGGTATTGCTCACGGATGACGCTTGAATTCAAAGGAGGAGACTGGATAACAGACACTGGGTGTTTGTTCGTGAAAAATGTCGACGACTGATGATGGTGGGACGTGAGCGCTTCGTGATTCTTATTCTCGTCGTAGTACACACGAGCGGGAACGGGCGGAGGCGGGAGAGCGGGAGGTGGAGTGTGAGCTTGTACAGATGGTTGCGATAAGTCCCACACCGTGTAGTGACTGTATATCGGCTACAATGAACAGGCCCGAATTGAAGAATCGCAAAGCGGCGAAGAAAGAACAATCGCATGTGTATATATATATATATTCGCAAGAGAAGAGAAAATTGAGAGAAAAAGAGAGAGAAAATCAGAAGTTCCGAGCACAGGTTTAGCTCTACACTCGTCTTTCTACAGTGGAGACAAAACCGAGAGCGAAGTATTACACGCGCATTTTTTTTTTTTTTTTTTTTTATCTAGGCCACACTCTATATACGTATGCGCGATCGAACGTTACCTTGGTCTGACTCATCCACAGCGAGCCCTGCTGCTGTCGGTCGATGAGCTCTCTGAGCTTCCGGTACCAGGCTTCCGGCGCATTCAGAGTGATCACCGCGCTGAAAACGTGACCCCAGATTTTATCGAGCTTCTGGCACTGCTCCAAGAGCTTTTTGCTGCTTTTGTGCGCCGATCTGCAACAATACGTGCGCGCTTAGAAAATCTCCACCACACGGGAGAGGTGAGAAAACAGCTGTTAGTAAGTTCTTTACTTCGGGATGCCGGCTCTCAGCTCTTTGATGACCTGCTTCGTCTCGGCCTTGAGGAAGATGACGATCGGATAGAACTGGGCGTAATTCAATCGATCCACGGCGTTCGGTGTGATGTCGAGCAACGCGTGCTTGCCTCGGTCCATCACCTCCCTGATGGCGCTCAGACGAATGATGCCGGACGTTTTCGTGTTCTTTCCCGTGCCGTCTTCCAATTGACTTTCCATTTCTTTGGGAGATTAAACGTTTAGTAGTACATTTATAGCTTCGAGACAATAGCTTTGCGAAGCAATTAAACGAAGAGCGGACAGATCACTCACGTGGAGAGGTAAATTTGTCAGGGAAATCTTTGAGAAGTTTCTCTCTAGCGAGATCGGCGACGGGTCCGAAGAGAACGACAGGTCTGACGAATCCGGGATGTCTCAGGATCACGCGTTCGTAAGCCGGGAACTTGCTCACGCTGTCAGAAAACACCACGTCGTCCCAATGATCCTAAAAAATTTATATTTCATTATTATTTTACGCATATAAAACAATAATTTTGAAATATAATTAAAATACTGAAATAAAATGTGAAAATAATATTAAATATTATTTTCGTATTATTTATTTTCATTATTACTTATTTTAATTATATTTTGAAATATTATTTATATACGTATTTTATATATTTATTGCGAAATATTATTGTATATTTTTAATGTTTTTTTTTATGAAGAAAATTTTAGCAGGTTCAGGTTTAAAATTGTAAATCGCGAAGAAACATTATTCCCTTACTCTTCCCAAAGACTTGGAGCGCCTATGGCTGTTTCTTCTTCTCCTGAAGAAGCTACCTCTGCTCTCGCTTGCACTCATCTCCTTCTTCGTCGCGTTGAACTGCGCGGTTGCGAGTTCCTCGGCTCGCGCCTTGTTGGGTATAATGCCCTTCTGAACCTCCTGGTTATTACGTCCGATTCGAAAAACCTGCCAGGATCCCACGACCCCGTTGTGAAGAGTGTCAACCACGTGGAAAACGTCCCCGCTGCGAAAACTCATCTCGCCCTTCTGCGGTTGCTCGTAGTGGAAGTGAGTTCTGCGCGAATTTCAATCAAAAAAACCGAAGAGATTAAAATACAAGAGAAAATTGCGCGATTTAATTTATTTTTTTTTCCGATAAAAATTCGAAACTTTACTTTATGTGGAAGGAGTCGCCTCTGCCGGACGCGACTATCTGGTCGTACTCCTGACGCCGATGTTGCACGATGAGATCGATCTGTTCCTGCAAGCTGAGCAGAAACAGCACAGCTTCCTCCCTCGTGACTCCTTTCATATCCATATCGTTGATCTGATAACAAACGTTGATGTTAAGTTCTTTCAAACATTCACTCAGAACTCGCGCGTAGAATCTCGTTTATATATTCAGTTAATTACATAACGAACCTTCAAAATTTTATCGCCGGGCTGAAGACCCTGAAGCGACGCGGGGCTTCCCGCTTGAACCGCGGTTACAAAAACTCCGGTTTCGTTGCCGCCGCTTAGTCGCACTCCCACAGAGCCTTCTTTTTGGAAGGTAATGAATCGAGGGTCCGGCCTGTGTGTAAAAAAGAGACAAACAAAAAACAACATTATACACACTTTTCAATTGCGCAAACTCGCAGTAATATTTTATCGCTATTTTTAACTCACATGGGCTGCTTTGTTCGAGGCGAAACTGAATCCTCATCGTAAAGTTGCCTACGCGTGCTGTAATAATCTATAAAAAAAAAAAAAAACATACAGTCATTAAGCAAAAACTAAATACAGCAGAATGAAACTCAAACAAAAAACCAAATAGCGGCGGCAAATCTCGAGACTTCTTGTTATTCAATCAGCGTAAAAATCCTTCATACTACTTTATATTTTTTTACACACATAAAACTGTCCCAATTTGTGCACGTTAATTGAGAAATAATTATTGGACATTTAAATATTAAACAAAACAATTCTTAATGTTTTAAGCAATTTTTAGGATGTGTATTTTAATTATTAGATTCAAAAATAAATGCCGTGGTCTACCGCTTGTCAACTAAATTACCCGATGTTTATTTAGCTCCTGATTTCCAATTGTATTTGTCAATTAAATCAGGAACCGAATATAAACGTCAGGTAATTTAATTGTTCACGAGCAGTAGTGGACACCACGCAACCAGATTTATTTTGTATTTGAGACCTGTTTCAATTGTTTAATTATTAGATTCTAACTTTACATATAGAAATACTTTGTGTAATTATTTCTTTAATAACTGTCCGGTCAGCGATGCTCGTTAGGACAGTAACCTCAGTCTTTTTTATTCAACTTATTATTATTTTGAAATAATTAGTTAAGTGCATCACGCACCTTCCGGTCTGGGCGGAGGCGGTCTGGGTGGATCGACCGTGGGCGTAGCCGGCAGATCCAGCTGGCTGAGGGACACGTCCATCAGCGGACCCCGTGAACGACCGCGGGGCACGAGGTTGCTCTTGTCCTCCAAGGGCTGCCTCGTGGGTGGCGGAACGTATAAGTTCTGACTACTGTAACTCGCGCCCGAGTTCAAGTATTCGCCGCTATCCCCTTTACCTGGCTGCTGCGCGTGGCAGCACGAGCTGTCCCGCGTCACCACGATCGAGACCCTGTCTTTGTACTGGTCCATCAGCTTTCTCGCTTCCTTCAGGCTCATATTGTCGGCGGCCACGCTGCCTATTCGGGTTAGCACGTCCCCGGTTTTCACTCCGGTGTTTTCTCGCGTAACCTCCTTCACGTACAATCGGCATCCAAGCACTATGCCGAAGTCTAGAAATCGAGGCGACGTTACGAGAGATTGAATCGGTCGGTCGAAGGTGAACGAAGGAAGAAACGCGAAGATTTCTCTCAAACGCCGGGAAAAAAAAATCTTTCCCGATCTTTCACAAATAAAATTGAAAGACTTGGAGCAAAATAAAAAAACGTGCAATTATAGATTCAATTATATTTTGATAAGAGAAAAGGGTATTTTATATTTTTCTGGATCGCACATTCCTGACAATCATCGCGATTGTTGAGCGCGCGGGGTGTCTAATTACGTACCGTCCTTTTTATTGTTTCGTGTGAGCGTGAGTCGATGACTCTGGGTCGTGTTGCCGAGGCAACCGGGCGAATTCGAGGAAGCCCTTCGTTTAACAACTAATAAAACGGTAGAGCCGGAGTCTCGCAGGACTCGCACGGCACGTCCGTAATCGGCGCCCTCCAACGACACCCCGTTGGCTGAGATGATACGGTCGTTGACTCTATAAAAAAAAATCGAGAACAAAACGTATCTAATAATAAACTTTATTTATTAAGAGAGAGACAACACATAAAGGAAACATGTACAGCAAAAATATAACAATATAATATTACGTTAAGCTAATTTATTTTTAATTGCTGTAACATAATAGAATTTTTATTGGAGTAGTTTTTGAGCGAAATATTTTTTTATTCGATAACTTGAGGATTTTTAATTTACAATTAAACTGGAATTGTTTTTAGAGATACCCAGTTGCTTAAAACTTAGATATTTCATTTAGAAAGTTAAAGAGATCTTCTCGATATATTTTACTTAAAAAGCTGAGGAGAGAGAGAGAGAGCGACGAAGATTTCTATTGATCTTGCTTACTGTAATTTTCCTTCCGCCGGTCCGGCTTTGAGGACGTCGGAAATCGCGATTGCCGTATCGCCATTAGTAAAATGAGGATTGTCGCGACCTCCTGACACGGCTATACCGAAGCCGTAGCCGGGAACTCTGGTGACGGTGACGTGGTGAATTTCCCATCCTCTGTCTCCCAACTGAAAATTCAAGTAGAAAAAACAAAAAAAAAATCACACATTTGTCATCTTTCGCTCCGACGTTTTTTCGACGTCAGCGTGTTTTTCTCTATTTATCGTCGATACGATCGATGTAATTCGACGATGCGCAATTAATCGCGAAAGTATGTCGAAACACGCACATTCTTTTCTCGGGTTTCTTACTTCACTTCTTTCTCAAATAGAGATAAGCGCGTTTAACCATCGGCTATTTACACACAAGACACTACGCAAACATGAGAACATGCCGTTGGCTAAGTGTTACGCGCGGTTTAAAGGCGGTTTAAGAATTACACTGTTAAATTAAACGCGCGGATCAAGGCGGACAATTAAAATTTGCAATTTAAATAAAAAAAAAAAAAAAAA